CCAGTTATCACAAATGCTTGATTGCAGTTCTTGCATCCAACTCATCACTGTGTTAATGAGAGACAAAGGAAAGCACCAGACAATTAGCAGCCTGTAAGTGCCTGCATGTAAACACAGTCAACGGAAGTGGGTCACATTCCTGCTGCTGGTGACTTAACAGGTGCCTGGAGCGCCTTATTTTTCAAACAGGAAAGACAAAGTTTTAAAGTGAAAGAAACTGGAACAAGGGATATGTGGAGTGTAAAATTAGTGTTACAGTGCAGACAATACAACCCTGCACCTGTACAGATGTGGTGATCAGACTAAGTCGTAACAGGAAAGACATTAAGATCATACAGCAAATAGTTGCTGGAGGGGGAAAATCAGCAAATTAGTTTAAGGAGTATATTTCTGCAGCATATTTACAGAATTAGAAGCATTACACTTTTGTGTCCACACTCTGCAGATATGAATATGAATGAGGGACCAGTTTTGTCTCAGGTTAATTAACATGAGTCATGAGGGGAAACTACTGTGGAAAATGTGCCGTGAAACAAAATGAATTTGAGAAGAGTTTTTAAAAGAAAACTTGGCTGACTGGTGTCATAGAGTCAGTTGTTGCTTTCTGTGATTCTGGCTCAAAGTACCCAAAGTCAGTGATAAACATTTAGTCAGGCAATGGAGAGATTAACTTGTATATGTGTCTTCTTTAGAGTGTTTGAAGGTCTTTGACTGAGGTACTCAGTTTACTGTCTAAGCTTTGCAGCGAGAAGCTATGTTGATGAGCCCAACTTACTTTCTTTCAATGAGGAACTTTTGCTCAAATAGTTCTGCAGGCTTTCTGAAAGTCTCTCAAAGTTTTTCTTTTGACATTGTTTTTCACACATTTTCAGTCCAGGCCTTGTATTTGATCATTTTCAGTAGTTGCTTTTTTTTCTTTGCTTGCTTGTTTGTTATATAACATATAACAGTGGCCTAGGAAAGAATCAATCATTAAAAGTGCACCTAACTCATGGGATGAACCAGTGTTGTGTCTGCAAACGACTTAACAAAGAACCAAGTATCTTTAGACACTTTGTTACTAGCAGCTTTTGAGAAAAATACATAATTAGTTCCAATTTCTTATTTGTACATATAAAAGATACCAAAAATTAAAGTTTAAAAAGAATAAAAGAGTATTTTTATAACAACAAGATAATTCCAAAAGAGTAAGTAAAAAGAAACCAAGCGTATCAGCATGCTTGGTTTCCTTGAAGAGTTGAGTAAAGTGTAGGACAAGAAAAAAAGGGGAAGGCCTGAAAAGCTATCCACAGCAGATGAAAGTCTCAGTCATTTCTTTAAGAAACAGGAAAACAGCGAGTAAGAACCTGAGAGTCTGAAGCCTCATCAGAAACTGTCTCAGTTGGAGGTTGGCTGGAAGCAAAGGGATAAAGTGAGTGATGAAACCAAATTTGAAATTTTTGCTGGCAACTGTCATGATTTCCGCTGCATTTCAGACAGTGGTGTTTGGAATCGTATCAACACTGATGGAATGATGAAAGCAGAATAGTACAATAGTACAATACCACCATGCAATACCTGGATAGAAAAACATAATTCCCCACATTCCTAGATAAAAACTGTATATAAAATGAATGGTGGCACAAGACCTTTGGCCAGTACTGTATATCATATCCTATATGATATAGTTACAGTTAAGCCTTTTGTGACAAATGTGATGTTGAATGTGCTGTAAACATTTATGTTAAATGATATATTATTACAGCAATGCCTCTGCACCCCAAGGGCATACACTACACTTGTGGAAAAGGTGCATGCTTGTGCAAATTCCCAGCCAGTGAAAGTGTGAGCTAAAAGTCAGTAGCTCAACACCTCCTGGATTCATTTTCTTCCAAATTTAATTTGGTAGGGGAACAGATGAAGCTAAGTAAGTGGCCCGTATCATTTTCATCACAAATCACACAAAAAAAGCTTTATCTGATTTTGTAGTGTTTGCTTGAGGTTTCTGGAAGAGGCCTGAGTACTCTGCTTTCTGTCACAGTGGAAAAGATTGGAGTATTCACCCCATCGGGATTCGCCTCTTGAAGCTATGATCACATGAACTGTTGCTGAAGTCGAGGTTCTTACCGAGCTGTTGTTAATTACACTGTGATTGAGTTGGAGATGTGGAGCTACTTTACATCAGGACTGATTCACCAAGTCAGTTTGAAGACTCGGAGGGAAGCCTGGGTTTTTAGGAGGTGTTTTGCTTTCTCCATCATTTCCATTAAGTTTGCAGTAACTTTGATCTTCCTCCACAGATGATGAACTGTAACCAACTATTGTTAATCTAAACTCAAATATATTCACGACACAAGCTTTTCTTTTCTTTCCTTTTCCATCTGCTCATGTTCTGGCTGACTCAGATCTGCAGAATGCTCTCATATCCTCTGTGGGAGCGCACACACACCGGCCATTGCTTCTCCAAGCATTAAAGCCCACCTCACAACTAACCGGTGCTCCCCATCCATCTGTGCTCTCTTTTCATTCAGAGAGCAGGATTGCTCTGTCTCGGCTGAGATCCCTCCACCATGATCTTTAAGAAATCATTACGTTAACATAGTCATTTTCCATCTCAGTTTGGATCACCATATTTACTGCAGGACACCAGAACATGTTCCTTTGGCTGCGCTAACACAAGTTTATAACTGAGGGTGTAACTTATAATGCTGGTGTGTCTGAGCATCACTGAAGCAGCCTTAAAGAAAGAAGCCTGGGAGAGATCTGCTGATCTTTATCGAGGCCAAGAGGAGCACATGTGGGTTTACTAGACCTTCACTTAATCTTTGACTGCTGGTTTACTTTCTTTCTGAAGGCTTACTGGCTTGGCTGTGGTTTGTGTTTATGCCAGCTGTCCATTCTGAGTCTGAGAGACAGCGCCTCCCTGTGGAATACAACTGTAAGTAGAACCAAAGCAGTAGAAACTCAGTGCCATCTACTGTTCTTTGGTGTTCATTTATGGGGAGAAATGCCCGCAGTAATACTTAAATTAGTAAACAGGTGGATTGCTTAAAAAGTAGTTACAATGAAAGGGCTCCACCCTGTTGACTAGACGATCTCTAAGGTGTTACACGTTTCGTGGCAATATGCTCGCTCATTTGTGTAAAGAAGAAAACGAGGCAGCAGAGTCAAAGGAGTGCAGCTGTTATTTTTTGAGTGAAGGGTCTGGCAGCTTAGGTGTGGAGAGATGCATGAGAGAGGCCTGGACCAGCTGCTGAGCTCTGGCAGCAGATGCAGAAAACTGTTGTAGTCCAAGCAGGGGGTGAATAATTCTGCATAATTTAGTGGGTTTTGGTGAGATTGTCTCCCATTTGTTTTGTAGTTATACTAAAGTTAAGTAAAGTTATGTGTCGAGTTGAGCTTTTCACTCCCAGGCTGCTGGCTTATGGTTCTTAGGATATTTAAAAGTAAAATGGGACGCAGAGGCCTCAGCTTTTTTTAAAACCAACTCCCAGTTTGGATTTGGGAGACAGACACCCTCTCTGCTTTTAAGATTAGGCTTAAAATGTTTATTTTTGACTAAGTGTGTCGTTAGGGCTGGATCAGGTGACCCTAAACCCACCCTTAGTTATGCTTCAATAGCCCTTGGCTCCTGGGGGATTCCTATGATGCACTGTTTACACACACCGCTCTGCATGTAGTCATTATTTATTACTAATTTCTGGTGCCTTTGTCTCACCTCCCCTCCCTCAACCCCAGCCAGTCCCCAAACCCCAAACCACTAACACTCAATATATGAAAATATGAAAAGGTGATTTTTGTTATATTAAGTAAAATGTGGCCATTAAAATCTGTTCAGAATTTGCAAATTGATGATGATCGATTTGATAAATGATAACGCGTTACTCTCCCCTACACAGCATCCATCGGCCTTTATAGGTAACGATAAGTATTAGTATCGGTAATATTGGCTCTGTATTTACTTGGTATTTGCAGGATTTGCAGGATCACACAGCACTACTCTTCACCTTAGAACGTCGAGCAGCTTGAAGTGACTTATTGTGATTCGACACATACACGTACAAAGTGTACTTGGAATGAAGCAAAACAAAGTCTTTATTTATTTATTAATTTATTTGACAGTACAGTCAGTTCTGTAGAATAGAACTCATCAGTTTTCCTCTCTTTACCCAAAAATAAACAACTCAAATTACTCTTTATTTTTTTCAAGTTAGCATGACTATCTGTGTTGCATACATTTACAATGCAATAATAGTTCCCTTTCATGAGGTTAACACAAACGGAACTTAAATCAACATACTGTACACAAATATATGGCCCTACAGCAGATTACTGTTTGTCATAAATTACATTCAGATGAATTGACACACACACACACACACAAAAGCAAAGCATACACACACAAACACACATACACCATCTCCTTGTTTCTTCAGTCTTATCATTTGTTTTTTTAAATACTGAAAATGGTCTGATTTTGACAAACACCTTGCTCTGCCATGAAGCATTGAGCAGCATCAGTGTACTGTCGGGTTTTTACCCACTGTTAGAAATGGAAATGTTTTTAAGATTTTACTATAAGTGCCAAAAAAACAAAAAGGTTTCGCATTTAACTGATTAATATAATGAATGAAAGGATTCCAAATGCTTTTGTGAGATTTCAAAATAAATAAAATCCTCAAAATTCCTTCATTTAAACAGCTGTCATTACAGATGTGCTTACTTTTTACAATCCACGTACTTCAATGATTGCTAAGTATCTGTCCCCCCCCCCACCAAAAAAACCCTTTGCTTGTTTAGTCATTTAATCATCAAGAACCACAGCAGGTCAGCATCCATTCATCCCACTAAACACTCACAGGTCCAGGTGCAATGCCCAAACTCGAACTCTAATGGAAACAATGTGCACAACAAAATGTCAGAGTGGCAATGAACAAAAGAAAGTTGGTTTGACAAATCGGATCGGTGAAAAAATGACTGTTGATGTGCTTAAAAATGTTCCCCCGCTTCATAAGTGAGCATCAAAGTGTGAGTTCAAACAGCAGCAACTGGACCCGCTTCAGTGACACCAAACCATCAGCAGGAAACTGTTGCAGACGAAACAACAAGCTGTTAAAACCAGCGTGAATATTTCAAGTCGCTCCATTTTTTAAAAATCCTTTTTTTTTTCTTTTTTTACAGTTACATTCAGAAATCAAGTCTTGTTTAATATTGCTTTAATCCTTTTTTACTCCCGCGCATGCTTGACAGAATAAATAACAAAGGTGTCAGCATGTATGCAAATTATTCTGCTACAAGGGGCACATGCAATATGAGCAAAAAGAAATAAATGAAGGAAACTAACTTCAAGCCTGCACGACAATGGTCCCTCCCAGTATTCACCAGCATATAACTTTGGTTTACGGTGAAAGCTCAGTGGTTAGCATGTTGCAGAGGTTTTTGTAATGCGGCAGCTTCCATTTGGAATTTGCAGGACTTAAAATGTTATCGACCACTTTATGCATCGAAATCTCAATCAAATCACCCAACATTCATTGTCGTCCTCCAGCTGACTAGACAAATACAAAAACAGAGGTGAGCCAAAATTGGGGGGGGGAGTACTCGTGTTCTCTGCAGGTCTGTAGTCACAGTGCTTTAGCAGATGTCTGTGTATCTAGACTGGTCTGCATCCCCCTTTACGTGTGCACCAAACGCCCCCCAATTTTTTTAAATGACAAAAACAGAGAGCCACAAACACCTTAAATTGGCATAGGTACATTTATGTACCCGCTCTACTGCATACCGTACAATAACAACAACAATAATAATAAAGGCAACATAAAATATGAAGTAATCAACTAAAACAAACGCAGATCCATATTCCACAGACATACAGTATGTTCGTTTTTAGGCACATAAGAAAATTCAGTCACAGCAAGAGGACATAAAGCCCCAATCTGGATTCTCTCTGAAAGTATAAATTACAAAGAGGGGAGGGGTTGCTGGCAGAAAATAATCTCGATCTCTAGAGCCATGGCCACTGCTACGTACCATAGCTTTCGGCTAACTCCACTGCATTGCAAAACACACATAATGCAGGAGTAGCATTCATAAAATGCAGTCTGGACTACAATCCGTCACAATTAGAGACAAGCACGATCTGAAAGGTTTTAATAAAGACATTAATAGGACCACTGTTTGTATGTTAGTTTAGTCAGATTGCCTTCGTCTCTAACCGCGACTTAAATATAGAGCAGATCACATTTAATGAGTCGTCACTGCAGAAATCACAGTCATTCAAAACTTTTTTCTTACAGTTCCTAAACTGAAGATCTTCTAATTTCGCTTTGGCTGACGGTCTTTGGCAACACTGGACTGGACACGACAAACACTCCTTGGCTGCACATTGAGTTAAAAGTTAGAAAGCAAAGCCAAAAACTGGAGGAGTATCTTGTTTGTAGTATCAGCAGGTTTACATAGGACATACACATTACATCTGGTGTATGGCCATGTGTAATCTTAAAAGTACAGTGTAGAACCCCAGTTTCTGCATAAATCAAAAAAAAGAAGAATTTGTTACATTTTTCTGCGAAAACAGGTAAGATGGGGGACACGTGCACCAGATTGGGCATTTAATATTATACTATACTATACTGTATGTCCAATATACTGGGCAGTTACAACAGACAAGAAGGCAACATCATTAGTCTGGCCTGACAGAATATGAGTATAACACAGTGTAACAGTTCTTAGCCAATATTTCCATCCCACCTCACTTATCATGACTGTTTAGAAAGATGAAAATTGTAGTTGGACTCTGTCACTCATCTGTTTTTTAACCTTTTTCTTCCGGGAGAGATGACTGCGGTGTAGTTGCTTATGCTGTTTTGTAAATGAGTGTGTGTGGGTGTGCACGTGTGGTCGTGTCATAAGTACTGTACTCTGTAAAATATGCGAGACTGTGTGTTGTAATATGATGTAATGCGCTTAATGCTTCCATTATGTCCCGGTTTCTTCATCGTTGTGTTTGTCGTGTCTGGTCGAATCCCCC